AGGCAAATTTCTTGCATTATAATTTAAGAGATAATATTGTTTATTATTATAGTTGTTATTAATATGATAATTAATATTGTTGTAATTGTTATTATTATTATTTTTGTTATTGTTATTATTGTTATTGTTGAATATATAAATCAGTTTAAATTTCTCTCAGGAAAAAATTCTTGGAATTACTCCATAATAAAAAAAATCAATCAAATCGACTACACCTACTTCAAAAAAATCATTCATCAATACAACATTAACAACAAATCAAACTAATAACAATTCCAAATTTCACCCCAACATACTTTTTCCAAATATCTTCTCTAATTGCATTTCACTAATCGAAAATTTATTTTTATCAGATTTGAATGAAAAATTAAATTATTAAGGAGGTACTGACCTCCTAATTCAGTAAATAGTTACTTCTAAAATTTTGCCAAATTAAGGTTTTTATAGAATATATTTACTTATAGACAGGTCAATGTTTATAGCAACATATCTCAATGTATTACTATTGTTATAAATATTATATTAAGTTTTTTTTCTATAAAATTTGAAGTGCTTCACAAAAAAAAAAAAATAAATCAGTTTAAACTAGTTTTGTTTATTTTATTAAAATTATATAAAGAATTTTAATTGAATAGTTGTCAAATATTAATCAATTGAAGAAGATAAATTGATTTCAATTTTTTTTTTAACAGGTAACTTATGTCTTGTTTATTGAATATTGTATTGTTTTTATAAATTTTTACAAATTTGAAACTCTATCTATTTTCTAAACTCACTCAAGGTTTTTTTTATAATATGACTTATTGTCAAAAATTGATATATCTTTGACTAATTTGTCAAGGCTCTACCAATTCCTATTAAAAGAAATTCTATAATTATAAAGTGTATTCCAGTTTATCTAATTATTAGTTGCATAACTTATAATTGAGTTGATTCCTGGTATATGTAATTTTATGTTAGTTCTTTTACATATATGTGTTTGTTGTCTATTTTTGTTTATCTTGTTTGATTATATTATTTTCTTCTTTTCATTTTGAGAAAATTTCATTGCGTTACATCCAGATTTTTTCTAAGCTATTAAGAACTTTATTTAGGATGTTTTTGATTGTTTCTTTTTGTTCCATTGAGGATATTAATTCTTTGATTATGGAGATGATTTCATGGATTAGTACTTCTCTCATAACAAGATTTTTTGTTTCTTTGGATCAACTTTGAATGTATTGACTAATTTTTTTAAATAGTTGTGAACCTGTTGGTTTTGTTGTTCTGCCTGTGATTTCTTTATTGATTATTTGTATAATTGTCTTTGATATATTTGTTTTGTTGCTTTCACAGATCATTATATGTGTATTAGTCTCTATAGTTTTGTTACATCTAGAACATATATCATCTAGATAAACTGTAGGGAAGCATTTGTAGAGTTTATCTTTTGAGGGAAGTTCTAAGTTTCATAGTTTGAAACGGAAGCTTCTAGTGTTATGATCTTGTTAATTTGTGGTTCCTGATGTTAGGTGTGATGGTTGCTTGAATTTGAGTGTTGATGACCAATCTGTTTGATTGATTGTGTATTGGTCTAAAATGTTTATGTTGTGATTTAGTATTCTCCAATTGATAACGTATTTTGTGTGGATTATATCTTTGATAGTTTTTGTTATAGTGTTATTGAGTATACTGTATGTATACTTCCGAAACAATTCGTTAAACATTTAACTAAATAAATCAGCTAATGCATAACGCGAATAATTTTATCAACTAAGAAATGAAAACCATCATAAGTCCGAAGCTAATTCGGTATGAGAATCAGGTGATTGTGTAGAAATAAATCAGATTATGTGGCAGGAAAGGCGTTAATATTCTGTATATACAATACCACCCTGACAAATTTAGATTTTCCAACAGCAGTATGGAAAAATAAACAGTAAGATCACTAACCGAGTCATTATTCAGGAACCATCCTGATCAATTTAAATTTAGAGCAATAATTTAGGAGAATTGGAAGGAAAGCACTAGCCGAGTCACTATGCAAGAAAGTAAAAGCACTAGCCGAGGCCCTATGCAAGAATACCATCCTGGCCAATTTAGATATACGATTTAGGAGAATTGGAAAATGCAAGAATACCACTCTGATTATTAATTATTTAATAAATTATTGGAAGTATACTTTTTTAGGAGAAAAATGAATAACTTTTAATACAAAATTTATAATTAAAAATAATATAAATGGGAAATACTCGAAAAAAGCATCTCATTTTCAGTCTACTCATTACGCACATCTAATATTATTGATATAGTAGTGTCGTGGATCAGGGTTGATGACACGGTCAGGGCACAATCCTTGACCTCGCGATGCTTTCGGTTAGGGGTTCAGGTAAGTATACAGAAGAATAAGGCGGAAAAAAGACGTGGATTTTGTCAGTTTGTGTGATTTAAAAGGATGTATCAACATCTGGTAATTTTATTAATGTCCCTTTTTCTCTTCTAAATTGCTTAATTTCTCTTGGAAGAGGTTCAAACTTCTATGTCTTCAGTTCATTAGATTTGTTATTGATGAGTCATATCATTTCTTGATATGTTCGAAGGTGGTATTTTTAATAGTGACAACTTTAATTACTTTTTCGATGGCAACCGGAGTAGAACTATTAATAGGTGAACCTAGAACATAGCAAAATAAACATATGTAAGCCATCTAGCTGTAAGGACAAAAAAAGTTAAAAATAAGGTTTAATAATTTGTTTATCGTAAAAAAGTATGTCTACTTTCTTTAATCGAAATAGCTTGGCGGGAAAAATATCTTCATTAAATTAGTCTGTACCGGGGTTAAAAAAATCTTTGATCGAGAGATTTTATAATTTGGCAAGTACATTATAGCTAAAAATCAAAATTTTTTATCCAGAGTATCGATAATAAGTAAAACTAGATCACAAATAATGTTAGGCAAACGAGTGGTTTGTGGAGATTTGTATAGGAACAACATTTTACTTTGTATATCAAACATATAACCTTTTTATTGTTTTCAATATATACATTATGTGATGCGTGTCTGAAAAATTTTCTTTCAATTTTCCAAAAAAATTTTAAAATTCAAAATTCAATGTACTGTAGTTCTCGAAGATGATCTGGGATACTGTAATTATGTATGGATCCTTACTGTATACAGTAATACTACTTACTCACTTCACAGAGTTATTTTTGATATGATCACGATCAACTGTTTTTGAAACTCTTCCGGATCTTTATGAAGCGCTTTACATGTTTCTTATGTTGTTTTCTCTGTACTTCTAACAATGAAATCTGTTCGGCGGACGATGGGAGGTGGATCAATATTAGTTCTTACTTTGCGACATAAATTTTTGTGTTCATTTAAACAATATGAGTACCGTGTTTTAAAGTGCTTGTACAAATATTTACAGTAAATGTTTTGTAGAAGACACATACCACCTTTATCCTTGACTTCTGTAAGTTACTAGGAAATCATCGGCACATTGTTAGTATCATTTTCCCATACTTTTATTCGATAAAGTGTTGTATATAATTCGTGGCCTCGTTCTTGTGCAATGTTATTTGACATATTAATATTAAACCATTATTAACTACATTTCGGTGTTGTGTATATGTCTTTGGGTCGAGTCATATTTTTGTTCTGTGTAATATTTCCTTGTATTATACTCAGATAATTTTTGTTAGGCATAACACATTTTTTACTTGGTATATTACACCTTCGACACTAGTTCCCTTAAGAGTGTTCTTTGATGAGGCCTTTACTATATAACCTTTTCTATTCTTTATAAAATTAAAGTTTGCAGACCATAAATAATCTTTAAGCACATTTACAAATTATTAAAGTCTCATTTCAGATAGATAACAGCATTTAAAGTTGATTTTTTCATTTTTACTCCATTTTTTCAAAATTAGGTAGACGCAACATTTTACATTTTATTCCCTCTTTTGATTCTGCTTCCCATTATTTTTGATCTATTTTCTTGGCCCGTCCTCAATATTATTCATTGGAAAAAAAATAATGATAACAATTTGAATCTCTTTTTTTCTATTACCGTCCATATGTGTTATTTGACTTCCGAAGCAATTTTATCCGGAAAATTAATTATTTGTAATTGGCAGGTCAGTAGACGATTACATATAATGCACCTTATAGTAAAATCGCAACACTTTTTAATAGAAAAAAATCGAAATTTTAAATTTTAATTCATTTGTTTAAATAAATAAATATACTGTATATGAATGATTCTTTATTCTTTTTTTAAAAACAAATTTTTTCAAATAGATTATTGTTTTATAAATTATACTCGACCATATATGCAGCGTGCATAAATAAATAAACACATAAGTTATCAAATCAATATTATATTGCAGTTTAAAAAAAATCAAGATCAAAAAAATTTTTAATAAATGTTATTTATATTCTACACTAATACGTATTTCTTGTGCTGAAGGCATCATTGTCCTTAAGATTGGTTTGTAAAAGTTTGCATACAGTATGTAATTTTTTAAGCATAGCATATACTTATATACTGTAGTATTTTTATAAATGTAATAATTTTATTTTTTAAAAATTACTTTCTTTAATATTCGTATACTGAACATAAAACTTTTTATCAATAATGGTTATTACAAGTAGAATGATAAAGTGACTCTGTGTATTGTAAAATGAGAGGTTGTGAATTCAGAAGTAAATGTAAAAAAAAATGATTCCTAAATATTAGATTAAGCTTTAGGATTTTTTGTCTGTGGTATTTCCAAACTTAAAGCGTCTAATGAACAAGGCTTGAATAAGCATTGTGATCTAATACGTATATGCATGATGTTTAAAAGATTATGACTCCATTAATACATGTATACCCTAGTAGTATTTATATTAAAAGCGATACTGCCGCTTAGAAGCCTTGTATTAATAAATTTTATGAATGCAAAACGAGGAATTTATGAAACGTTTTGTGAAATGATGCAGCAAAAAAAAAGAAAGAAAAATCTTGCAACATATTTTACAAAATATATCTAAACTGTGGATCTCTTCCATTCGCATCCTCAGAAGCTTCATGTTCTCGTTTTTCAACGTCCATTTCATCATGTGTTTTGATTTTCGCCGTTTTTTCTACATTAACAGTTCTCAAATCACCTTTATCAATAGAGGGGGTATTATTTTTGACAGCAAGGCTGATGAAAGTAATAGAGATTAATACAATTATTAGCAATCTTTAAAATGTTAAATTTATTGCAAAATATTAAATTTAAATGCCTACGAATTCATTTTTTCGTTCTCTCGATGCAACATAAATCTCATGAATATCACTAAGATGACTGTGAGACTCAATAACGATGCAATTAAAACGTTCGTTTTAACTGTAATTGCATGTGAGGGAGAAGTCAAGATTTAGGCACAGAACCAACGAAGAATGAATTCGATAAATTTACCAAATCGGGGTCCATCTTTGGGCTGGTATAACATCGATGCGATGATGCCTTCGTGGAGTGTATACGAATTAAGAATCGTCAAAGTATACTAGAAAAAAATCATACTATTTTTTTTTTCTTATTTACCTGAACAATTGGAAATGGTTATAATCATTGCAATGGCGATTGATCTTTTATCATGAGGATAGGAGTGAATGTTAAGGAACCATGCAAGTTTCAATGGGATCATCGACCACACGCCTACCATATACAAATATAAAGATAAAAGCTATGCCGAATATCGCTGATTTCAAGACTTACTATACTATTGATAAATGTAAACGTACCGCTTGTGATAAAAAAAGTCGAAATATACTTTGCAACTCTGCTTTCAAGAGTCGCTAATCCGACGTATCCCACTATTGCCACCATAGTCGACGCGACAATATGCCAACTTCTTTCCTTAGTTCTGTCTGAATGTAGTGCCACCATTAATGAAAATATCCATCCAAACAAATATGGTGGTACTGTAAGCAATTGACTTTGCATGGCATTGAATCCCATGGAATGGATTAGAGTAGGCAAGTAGAGAGTGATGGAATGAAGCGCGATTCCGCCGCATATACCGGAAATCATGTTATGATAAACCTTCCAATCTTTAATGGCCATCAAGAGACCACGATGAGAAAATTCTTTGTGACGTCGCGGGCTATGTAAACTGCCGTCGTCCTTACTCAAACGGGTAACGAGATATTTTTTTTCCTTCGGTGTGAGAAAATTCGCGTTTTCTGGAAAGTTTGGAAGAACAAAACTGTTGCAAGAAGAAATAGCGTAAACAGGTTAAAAAATATTTGTATAATTACAATTAGGATAAAGAATGCTACTTTACAATGCAACAAACGATATCAATAAAGTGCATAATCCTTCTATTAAAAATAACCATCTCCATCCCTCTAATCCGCCAGCATCTTTCATAACGTCAATAATTAGATATGCAAGTATTCCACTACAGTATATAAGAATGATAGGAATTATTAAATAAATCACATGACTTATGAGAAAACGAAGTATGAAGATAAACTTTACCCAAAGGCCCCGGCTAGGACGCTCCCAGAAAAAAATATAGAAAATCTGAGAGCGAATTGTGACCGTTTATACCACATGCTTAAAAGAAAAATCGATCCTGGCGCAAATCCTTTCGAATAAATTCGTATGGGATGGCGAAAATAAGCATAATAAAAAATCAGAAAAAACATAATTGTACTGTACATCTTACCAGCTTCGGTAATGCCTAACACAAATCTTGTCACAACTAAATCCGGAAATCCCCTTACCGCGGACATGCAACAGATTGCAATCGACCAAAGCATCATCAGAAAGGGAATCCATTTCGATGGTGTGAATTTCCCTATTACCTATTAAGAAGGAAAACCTACAAACATAAACACAATAGCTAATTTATTTCCTAGAAACGCATACCTTACAATGTTTGATGGAACTTCCAACAAGACGTATCCAACGTAAAATGTCGCAAGAGAAATCTGGAATTGGTCTACAGTCAAACCTTATGTAAAACGAACGTATACATATTTGAGTGACTTTGAAATTTGAGAAAGCACACAGTACTGTATTCAATCAACAGTCTTACCAAGATCACGCTCCAATCCAGCCAACCTGGCATTTCCTATATTTACAATTAGTAAATACGTACATTGTTTAAAAAAAAAAAAATTTTTTTTTCGCATAAACGCTTAAAACACACCAATGTTTGTCCTATCTAAGCAAGCCAAAATATACATCACCACCAGCATCAACAGCAATCTTCGATCGACCTTTGCTATTAAATTTTTTTTAAATATTTTTTCTTCCGGAGGTTGCAAAGTAGGTAATACGGTCTCTTCATATTTCTCATCACGCGTTTCATTTGTCATATCTTCAATGTTTCTTGCAGGGTTTTTGACTTCTAAAAATACGAAACTTCAGTGCATATCAGAACAACAATGCCGAATGAGTAAATATTGTACTTTACCAGTGGTAATTTCGATATTATCTCCATTGTCTGTTTTTGGAACGGTATGAGACTCTGGATTCATTTTTCTTATAAAAATGTATGGTAAATATCTTCTCTTATTTATATATGAGGTATCTGTCATGTAAAAAATATCTTTTTTTAAAGAAGGGCTGGACATTGCACGTGTGAAATTAGTCTTTACATCAATTTACCAGGCTGTGATTTTTAACGTAACTTGTATATTACGTGCGATCGAGTTTAATTATGTAAAATGGTAATTAAGCTCATGTCAGTTACGTTATCATATGTAACCAATCATTAACAAACTATGATTGTGCGCTGACTCTTTTTTTCAAAGATGTCATAATTACACCACAAGAGTTCATGTGATCTTTCTAACTGTAAAATATTCATACCAGAAGACTCGGAAAATCAAATTATTTCACGTGGAATTAACGTGAATTTACGTAACTTAAAAGAGAAATACCAAAAGGTGTAACAAATGTGTGAGAATAATTTCGTTAAAACTTTTGAGCACACAATGGAATTTACTACGCATTATGCGTGTATCTCGCATTCTTTAATAAGGTCTCGTGTGTAGTATTTTTTTATAACTTACATAAACAACAACGTATAACGTGATAATAGTTGGGGTATGTCATATATAAGAAACGTTCTTGACGTTAATCATTTAAATTTCTTATATTTTCTCGGTGATTCATTGGAACGAAAGGTTAAGATTTCATTTCGAAAAATTCCGGCTTATTAAAATGCCCAATTGCTTGCTTGCTCTTTATCATGGGACAATTATTACGATATGACAGCAGTTGCCTGTAGGGTTCATCTAAAAACCGCAGGGCTTGTGAAAGAACCCACTGCGATCTATGAAGAACTGAGTATGAAAGAGCATATTTTTTTATTAATATACAGTATAAAGTTAAATATAATTTTATGAAACAGTAATCAACTGTACTGAAAATTTATTCATTTATTTTATTTTTATAATTATGATAAACTTATAAAAAATTATTGTTGATTTTTTCTTTAGATATTTTGTAAAAAAATGTTGCGATTTTACTATAAAGTGCATTATATCCAGTCGTTTCTAACACAAGTTTATTACTAACTTGGACCAATTCTCGCGTAAGATTGGAACAAACAAGCTGGACTTTAACTTGTGAGTTTAGATACATGATTCGATTTAGCAGAGTTTTTTTTATTAATTCTGTTCTACTATTTCTTGACTGCAATTCTATTGTCAACGCTCCTAAGTTAATATTTGTTTTAGAAACATAAAGTCTCTTTTTTTACGCATGCCTATCTCTCTACCCTAACGGGCTATCCTAAACGCATTATATATTTTTTTCTATCTTTCCGTATACTTACCACTACTTCCTTATTACCTTTTACAATTAAAATTAGTTGTCATTATCACTACTAAAATAAATATTGTTCCTACTATATTAGTGGCAAAATCACTCTGCAATACTTATTGATTAACAAATGTCAAAGCTAGTTTAATATATGGTGCTATTTTTGAAATAAAAGAAATTTAAAGTTTACATAAAAAATTTAAATTATTCTTTTGTATAAATACGTGACAAAAACCTCATTCCTATAATTATAAAAATTTGATAATATGGTTATTTACAGAAAATACTTTAAGCATCATCTTTTACTATCATTTCAAGCTGTTGACTGTCTATAATATATAAATAATGTTAAAATATGATGGCAAAAGGAAGAATAAAAATAGGTAGATTATAATGCGCATTACCTTGGCAATATGACTTGGTGAGAGGAATGAATTCACTTGTATAACTTGTTTTGGGGTATGTTCGTACATCAGAAGTTTTCGTATTTTTCGACATTTCATTGTACTTTGTTGATTCCGCCAAAATGCTAGATTCATTTCGCCATTCAGTAAAAATTCCGTAAATCTCTTCAGCATGTGGACGACTCCTTGGATTTTCATTCCAACATCTTTTCATAAGATCTATATAGCATTGTGGTGTACCTTTAACGATAGTTGCATATTTGAAATTGAAATTGAAGTCTAGATTCGCGGTTAAAAGGAACGACTTTTCCGGAAGAAATTTCCCACATAATTATGCCAAATGAGTAAATACCTGATGCTAAGGTATATTAATCACCACGAAGAACTTCTGGTGCTATGTACGGTAAAATTCCATAAACTCCTTCGGATTCTGTATTAGTCGATATTAGAAGGCCTAAGTCTGCAATATATGCATTATATAAATTACCATCTAGTAGTATATTACAGTATTATGTAAGAAAATAGAAAACAAAACACATGACTCGTGTGATACTATCATCCAATTACAGTATATAATAGTTGAAATTGTGAGATTTTTAGAAATTTTTTTACGAATATATAAAAAAGTAAAAAAACACATAAAAGGAAAATACAGCATAAAACCAAATAAACATCTACATTATCCAATAACTCATCTTATTTTCTAATACACTTACCTTGTGCTAAAATCTAATGCCTCTCTTGACATTTCATGATTAGCGATCTGCCCATAGTGACAGGCTTGCCGAATTTCCCCAGTGCAATAGTTACTGTATTTTTATTATCATACTATTAATTGACATACTGTATTTATAATTTCATATAACAAATTTTTAAAATTAAAAATTTTATTTTTATTAAATATTACAATAAAAGTTTTAATTATAATACTTTGTATAATGATGTGTTATTCGAAAACTGTTTTTAATAAAAACAAATAAATCTAAACACTATTACTTATTCTGGAAAAGTTTAAATTATTTTCATTTTAATGTCGTAATTCAATCATTTTGCTCGACACAGTGTTCATAATATTTCCTGGCCAAAAATCTCGTATTTTATGAAGCTTCCAGGCGACGGTGAAAACCGCCGCAAAGACGATGATAAAACCAAAATGCCAGTAAATTGTTTCCTTACCCTGCGACCAATCGAAGAATGTGTAAATCCAAAATTTGTTGCTATTTTAATGTTTCA